CAAGTGTCCTTATAAGAGACACCCAGTGGACAGCGCAGGGAGGGGAGAAGTCCCTGTGAAGACGAAGGTGGGGACTGGAGTTACCCTGCCACCCGCCAAGGAACCCGCCAAGGAACGTGCGGGGCTGCCAGAAGCTGAAAGAGGTGAAGGAGGACTCTCCCCTACAGCCTTTGGAAAGAGCGTGGTTCTGAGAAACCTTGATTTCAGATGCCTGGCCTCCAGAATGGTAAGAGAATAAATTTCTCTGTTCTGGTGACTTAAGCCACCAAGTTTGTACTTTGTTACACAGTCCTAGGAAACAAATACACCTATGAATTAAAAGCCAGATGACCTCAGAAAAGTGTTTTCTGAGAGCAAAAAAAAAAAGCCAGTTTAGCTGACTCCCGATCGCTCCTTCAAAGCTAGTTTCTATAACACAGGATCCAACACGTCTGGCACATAGCAAGTATTCATCGGTTTGCCACCTCATCCCCACAGGCATTTCAGCAACCCATTCTGTTACCACCATATAGCTATCGCCCAGTCACAGCTACTCTCCAAAATCTGCATTTCCTAATTAATTTAGACTAAACTGGGCACTAGAATCATCTTCACTCGTACCTGCTGGAAGCCTTAAAAACCCTGGAGATTCTGTTCAAGTGTGTCTGGAGCCAGGCTAAGGTATTTGCGTGATTAACAAGCTTCATAAAAGATGCTGATGTCTTGGGTGGCAAAGACTGAAAGCTTGACAACCTCAATGCCCATCAACAGAGGAATGGATAAAGAAAATGCAGTACATATAAACAATGGAATACTGTGTGTGTACTCAGTCGTGTCTGACTCTTTGCAAACCCATGGACTATAACTTGCCAGGATCCTCTATGGAATTTTCCAGGCAAGAATACTGGAGCGAGTTGCCATTTCCTCCTCCAGGGGATCTTACTGATGCAGGGATCAAACCCACATTTCTTGCATATCCTGCATTGGCAGACACAATGGATGATCACTCATCCATTAAAAAGAATGAAATAATGACATTTGCAGCAACTTGGATGGATCTAGAGATGTCATACTGAGTGAAGTAAGTCAGACAGAGGAGAAATATTGTATGCATCCCTTACTTATGGAATCTAAAAAGAAATGATACAAATGAAATTACTTACAAAACAGAGACTCACAGAAAACAAACATGGTTGCTAGGGGGAAGGATGTGGGTACAGGATAGGGAGTTTGGGATGGACATGTAAACCCTGCCGTATTTAAAGTGGATAATCAACCTGGACTTTACTGCGTATCTCAGGGAATTCTGCTCAGTGCTATGTGGCAGCCTGGATGGGAGGGGAGTCTGGGGGAGAATGGATACATACATATATGTGTCCCTGCATCCCTTTGCTGCTCACCTGAAACTATCACAACGCTGTTTGTTAACTGGCTGTACCCCAATACAAAACTAAAAGTTAAAAACAAAAAAAGACTGAAACCCTGAACCTAGGGCATTTAGCAGCTGGGCTAGCTGCCTGGTACTCTTATCCCCAAATCTTCTTGGGCTTATAGACAAGGAGAATAGTGTGATGGAGGGACCAGGGGATAAAGGGTTGGAGGACAAAGGACACATGTAAAAAAGCTAGAAACACTTTGAGAGTGATCTCCACTTAGTCCTCCAGGAAATGTGTCATCCATGCGATGTTTCTGAGTCTACGCAGACATCAAGGGTGGAATGAGGGGGCTGAGAAGATAAAGCTAAACCAGACTTGGTGCACAGCTGAAGAAAAACGTCTTTCAGAATTAAATCATAAATGCCACATGAAAAAATGTCTGTACACTGAAGTATAAAATATAGATAAAATATAAACTAAAAAGGAAGCCATGAAATTAAATTCGATTTAAGAAGTATTTATTGAACGTGTCCGACGTGTCAGATACTGTGCTAGGTGTGGAGCCTCTGATAAGGAGTAAGATGGTCCCTCCCCTCCTGTCAAGGACAAATCCTGGGCAATGTTCAATACAGAGCTGATGTTATCAGAAAATGAGTCAGTGGTACCGAGTTCAAGAAGTTGACATTTACCAAAGGTTAAAATAATTTGATTTCAGTGTTGACCATCTGGTGATTCATGGGGTCGCAAAGAGGCAGACACAACTGAGCGACTCAACTGAGAGGAATTTGAGGAAATTCTCCACTCCTGATTAAGTAAAAATATAGAAAGGGTATTAAATGTGACTTATTTGATTAACAAATAGAGCTGGAAGATCTGGTCTTTGATACTTCAGGGAATTCCTTAGTGAAACACCAAACTACAGTATTAGAATTAATCCCTTGCACAGGACTGATTTTTTTTTTTAAAGAGTGCCAACTATGCCATTTTCATTAACGTATCGGTATCATTGTTATGTTATACGGCTGAGTTAAGTTAGAAGTGTGATAGTCGTTAACTCATTAGTATTTTATGTTAGTACTTTATGTCTGGCTTGAAACACCAGTTCCCCCCAAAACCCATGAATCCCAAGCAGGATTGACATACCTTCACTCACTCATTTAACCAGTATAAGTTCCTACTCTATGCCAGGCACTTTGCTGGGCACTGAGGTTGCAGCAACGAGCTCGTAGTCTTGGCTTCCATGGGGGTCACTCTTTAAGGAATATTCCATCAAGAACCACCCTCTATACCCATACAGCCGGTATCTGATAATCAATTACAGCACCCTCTCCTGCCAGAGCCCCTAGACTGCCTAAAGATCTTTCTCAATATGCTATTCATATTACCAGTTAGAGGTAGAACACAAGATGAAACTTCTTGGCCATCCAAATAGCTTGGCTAGTCAAGCTACACTGAATCCCTCGTGGTTCCCCCAAATACTGCCTTGGTTCATGTCGTTTTCTGTTTCATTCTCCTCCCTCTCTGCTTCCATGAACATTCAAATTCAGCTCTTCTGAAAATACAGCTCAAATGCTCTACCTTGAAGTCTCCCTAGTTCTCCCCATTCAGATATGAAGTTTTTCTCTTTGAATCTTTATATTTCTTCCTCTTTTTGATAATCAAGTACATGTCATGTTTCCTACATATGTATCTTAATTAAGAAATGTCTTTGAATACCTCATATTATCTATCAGACAGCTTTGCATGCACAGATACACAATCACATGCTTGCTAAGTACTGTTTCAGTTAATTAATTTGTGTGTATATGCACATCATATTCTCAAAGGAGGGTACTAGATCTAGAATGCATGTGCAGTGATTGACTGATGTTGACAGACATTGATGCATTTGTTCTCACTGATCAAAATGACATGTTCGGAAAGGGAGGGACCCCATTTACTGCTGTCCCCACATTTACATCTCCCAGAATGATCCTGGTAATCTCCAAATAGTTTTTTCTATGCTCCCACAAAATAAAGTACGAAAGTCATAAAGACTTACACTTTTTAGCACATAAACTTCTAAATGATCAATAGTATCTAGTAAACATCCATGATATTTTCAGAACCTAGTAAATCTCTACTGATGAACTTGACAAAGAGCTTTTTCATGTTAAAGATTATGTAACTAGGAAACACACTCTGAAGAAAAAAACCCAAATTAATATATATTGGCTCATTTAAAGGTTTTAGATTAGTGATTAACAGCTCTTTTCAACCTTGGGAAATATATATAAGGTCTAGGAAAAGAAAATTCACATTCTTAAGAACAGTATTATTCAATTAATGTTTATTTAAAGCAATGTATGAGTATTTCCATTGTGAATGGACAGATTCACATAACAACCATACTTTCAGATACCAAATAACCATAACTAACTTTTGTCCACAAGACATACTGGGTCAAACAATGTGATCGATCCAAAGGTTATCTATTTTAAAAGGATTTAAGTACTTAACTACAAAGATGATTAGTCAGTCAATTGCTTATGACACTTATCATTTAAAAGAAAAAAAGATAGAGGTTTTTCATAAATCAAATTTATTACAAAGAGTTAATGTGCAATCAAAGCCAAATATGTTCCTCAGAGTATGCAAGAGATAAGCAAAATAATATTAATATAATTCAAGTTACTAAAAAACATTTTTTTCTGAATGGTAATATAGAACATCTTGGTGCATTATCATTATCTGACAACAGAAAACCAGTAAAACATGTTTCAATACTGACTTTCTGTTGTTCTTATAAAGTCAAAACAAAAATTCCAACAGAGCAGGAAGTCAAAATTCTAGAAAGTGAGTCTTAAAGAGGTGTTCTCTTTAATAGCATGCAGTTCCCTACAAATAATACATCTCATCTGAAAGCATGCTTACAAGCCAGAGCTCTGCCAGCCACTAAGGGAACAATTCTCCATCTGTTTCATCTACAGAGGTGGTGCTTACACAGCTCCTTTGAAGGCAAATAGTTTTTAAAAACAGTGAAAATCCACTTGTTTTTTTCTATTTTATTGATATACACATTTCAAATGTGGTCATGTTAATGACCATATATGTAAAATATTTTAAAAGACAAAAATAAAAATTATATACAGTCTTCAAAGATCAAACTTTAACCATGGTACCTTTCATCCAGTCCAGTTACTACAGAGACTTTCCAACACTGGTAACTATCAGGTACTGTATGTATCAGGCCAAATGAAGCCTCAAGGCTATGTCCAGATTTACTTTTTAACTTTCAAATGCTTTCATTTTTCTTCAAAAGAAAGTCAACGATTCTCCTTTTAAACTGGCGATAGCTACATGAGTAGTACCTGATACCAAAATCAGGGCCAAAAAGCTACTGTTAATTGAAGTCGATTTTACCATAATTAAATTCAGATGTCGATCCCAGATACCTGGGCATGAAATATTAAAATCTGCCAAGAGGAATTAGGTATTTTTCTCCTTTTCTTTTAACATAACCCACTATATAATAGTGAACTAAATATGTTTGTTTCATAGAAACAACTTACATTTGCCAATACAAAGCAAATGGTCTATGTACAGATACAACAGGACTGCCTAACTGACAGTGAGTATTGCCGACCAGGCTCCAAACCCAGGGAGCTAATACGGTGGAGCTCTCTGCTGAATGGACTTTCCCTTCAGGATACGTCGGATCTGGAAAGGAAACCAACAGGATTTGTGAGGTTTCTTTTTTACAATCAAAGTACCACCTCTTCACAGTTTCTTTCCTTTCTTCTATATGTAATTCCTGCCTACTTATAAGTAAGTGTATGAAGAAACACCCAACAGGATGTGTCAAGATTTTAAGGGGACTTGGGGAAAAAAAAAAAAACTACAACTTCTTTTAAGGCTTACTACAGCTCTCCTATAGTGATCTTCGAGTACAAGAAAGTAAAGCATCTCCATGAAAAAAATTATCTGAAGCTGAATATCTCCAACTGGTTTTAACAAAGACCTATATTCCTTTCCTAATCTTCTGTTATTTGTGAGAACATGTAAAACAAGGCAGTAATCATGATTATAATATCTCACCTACCTTGATGTCAACCTCAACTAAGAACCCAGAGTCTTTCTTACAGATATAAGTAAATTATAATGTCCTTCGAGTCAAGATAGCTATCAAGATAGCCAAGAATGAAAGTATCTGTGCATGACTATATGGATCACAGGAAAGCCCCTAGGCTCACTGAGAGTCTAATCATTGATTTTATACCCCAGCCTGACAAATTTTATCATGTCTCTCAGCCCACAGGAGATTAGAAGCAACAAATTAAAAGAAAGAAGATTGGAGTGAGGGATGCAATTGATAGCTACCAAAAGGAGACACAACGACTGTAGTCTGACAACAAAAGCACAAGGAAAAGATCCTCTCTCCAAACAGAGAGAAACAAAAATACAAAAGCAGAAAGAAGAATAATCTGAGAACATGTATTTGCCCAAGAGTTAAGCAACTTTGCAAGCTCGATACTCCCTGAGAACATCACTCTATGAATGCACACCACAAACAGTGAAGCAGAAGGTAACACTCAGGACTCTGTCATTTACTATTTAAGGATGGTTCCTGTGCCTGGAACCACTCTGAATCTCATTCTTTCCAGTTTAACCTTCATCCTGCAAAGTTTTCCTAACTATTAGGTGGTATGATATACCACTACAAGTTATCAAGAGATCACTACAAGTTATCAAGAGATAACTACAAGTTATCAAGAGACTTGTTTTCAGCTATCAAGAAATCTACAAATATGAGTTACTATAACATTGTGGCCACAATGAGAGCTGTAAATCAAAGAAAAGGCTAAATTGCATTCCGTATATTTTATTTTGTGATTATTACAATATATAATGACCTACAGCCACAATCACCTCATTTCCTCCAGGGGAAAAGTTTCATCAAAAACCTTTTAAGTTCTTAAAGAGTCAGCTCTTATTATCAGGAAAAGTTTAGTCATATGAAACTGTTCAATCTCCAAATGTAATATAGAATCATGATAAGTAAAGCATAATTCTATTTAAAATATGAACTATTTCTAGGTTCAAAATTACATAAATAACTTTCCCACTTTTTACTTAGGATCAGTTAGCAGACAGAAATCATTGTTCACGGCTAACGTTTACTGAGCACTCAGGTGTCTGGACGTATTCTGAACACTCTGCAGATACTGACTCACCTGATACCCACACTATTTGAAGGTTCATCACTTACTCACAAAACTAGTTTCTATCTCCTCAGTGTCTACAGGAACCTTGCTTCCTCCTCTTTCATCAACTGCCAGATGTCAAACCATTCTGACTTAGTTCAAACCTAAGTTTGTATCTTGGAAGAAAAGGAAAGACTGCCTGACTTCTAAGCATTTGGGGTCCACGGATACACCCTTAAATGTCTTACTCTTCCGCTGGAAACAAAGCAGTTGACTCCAAAGGGCAACAACGACAACTGCTGAGACACACGTGCCGACAGGGCCCACCTGCAGAGTGCCAGCTGGCCCACCGCTCTTACGCTTCAGGACAGGGCCTACAAGTGCGTCTTTCCCTTCTGGGGCCCTCACCTGTTCTCCCACAGGGCCATCAGGAACCAAATGCACTGGCTGTTCGTTCTCCAAGTTCCGAGTACTTGGGTCTGCTCCCTTCCTCATCAACAGGCGGACTGCATCCAGCTGCGTCACCCGATACTGCAGGCTGGCGGCGACATGGAGGGCGGTGTTCCCATTGTAAGCCTGAAGACCAAGAGAAAGAGACACCCGTGAGGATAGGAGACTTTCACAAAAGCAGCTCAAAAGCTTGAAGAACGTATAAAGAAGGTCATTCCAACTCTCGTGCAGCTCTCAAGTATTCCTAAAAGTACCTTTGCATTCACAAAAGACAGGCAGCTGGGCAGCTCCAAAAAGAGGCGAATGAGTTCCAGGTTTGCTTCTTCAGCTGCCAGATGCAGGGCAGTACGGCCACTTTTACGGTCCTTGTCAAAGGCAAGAGGCAGGAGAAAATGAACATCTGACACCACGCCCTAGGCACGCGCTTCTCACCCAGTCTGGCCTACGTCTGACTCACCCGTGGAGACTCCCTTGAAGCACTCCCTTCTCCACAAACCCTTCTTTCATCCCAAGCTCTAGGAAATCTCATTTCTCCTTTGAAATTCCCTTGTATTTGCCTACATGCCTCTAATCACATCTACCCTTATGCACCAGGTGGCCATAAAATGTAGAAACAGACTACACTGTTTTATCGAGTGCAGTAATATAGTACAAGAAACCATTTACTGTGTATCCGCCTGTGTTTCCAGGTGGCCATCCTGTAGACTTACAGTGAGCTATCTCTCTCACCATTTCTACTAAACAGTAAGCTCCCCAAGGACCCAAAGGGCTTATGATTTAGGCATCTTCCCGTAGAGCCCCTAACTCAGTGCCTTGCACACAGCAGATATTCAGTAAAGACACCTCAAATTTAAAGATAAGAAAAATATTTTCCAGTTTAAAAAAACAGAAGATTAAGTCCAGATTCCACAACAATGAAGAAACCCCTACGAAATGCAATGCCTTTATTATCTGTGTATGACAACTGAAGCCAAGATGAAAATATCAGTTTCAAGCATATTCTTTTCCTTTTCAAATAAAGACTAATTCATTTCACAGCTGGACGATTTTCTGAATAATAAGCCATAGATTAAACACAAATCAAGAAAGCAAATGAGGTGACCTTTTAAAATCTAAACTCCTTAACTAGCCATACATTGCTACTCACTCCATTAATTTTTTTAAAGGGGGGGGAATAAAATAAAAAGAGGAAAAAGTTTTAATCTCTACTTGGGAACAAGGTCTTCTGCTATAACCACTTCTCTCCCACATTCCATGTCTAAACTCTGCTGTGAATTTACCTTAGCTTCCACTGCTGCTCCCATTTGAATCAGACACTTAATTGTATCAACTAGACTTTTATTCTTCAGCAAAAGCTCCTGAACTTCAGGTGAGTGGGGCTGTTGATTTCCCTGGAGTTCGTGCACCACGGCATTGTGGGCCAAGACTGCGCAGTGTAGAGGGGTCAGGCCTAGAAAAAAGTTTAAGAAAGCAGAGATCAAGCCTCCCATCAATTCTTTTAGTTGTTTTGTAATTACACACCTTGGGGGTAGCATCTATGTGACCTGTGTATGGGCACCACAACAACCACTAGGGAAATCGGAGGATTTCCTCCATCGGGTCTGAGTGCTAACTTTACCTGTAGAATATCTGAGCTTTCATTAACTCCCTTCCTTCTTGGTATTGAACTTAATGCCCTTGGTACTACAGGGCCCCGCTCTCTGAATACTTCTTCACCCAGTAACATGCCCACTGCTTACCATCATAATTAGTTGCCTCCAGATCCACAAACTGGTTGCTCCCTGCTGCTCCCTTCTGAATTGCCTGCAGGATTTTAAAGTAGACATTTAACTCAGCACAAGACAAGCGCTCCCAAATATTTATCTACAAGTGTCCCAAGAAAGGAACAGGTCCACTCAGAAGACAGTATTGCAACAGGCAACCTGCACCCAACTTCTGATTTCTAAGCCCTCCCCCTATGGCCCTGTGGTCACGGGAGCCTGGCTTGCTGCCTCTTACCTGAAGCACTTGGGAGTAGCCCTTCTCCGCACACACGTGCAGGGGCGTTCTCCCCCAGCAGTCAGTGGTGTTCACCTGCGCCCCGAGGGTCACTAGATCCTGCACGATAAGGTGCTGATTGGCGGCCACTGCTACCTGGAAGGCACTCTGTGGACATGCAGAGGAAAAAAAATATATGTTTTGAAAATTATAAAACTATCATAACAAGGAATATGAACCTAAACTAGGACTGAAGGGGAAAAAACCCACAGAGAAAAAATAAATCCTATTAATAAGCTGTAAGATACTGTAATACAAGGAAACTAAAATCAGCTTAGGGTGAGGCTTTATTACACCTCATTAAGTCTTTGGTCAAATGACTACAAAGTTAACGTTAATAACTTCAAGGTTGGCAGTGACAAAGTCAACATCCCAAAGTTAATATTAACTCAACTCTTTTGGTCTGGAACTCTGAAATAATCTACACTGGAATACGAGACCAGCTATCATCTTGACAACACCTTTGCCATTTCCCTCCGTTGAGATCCTTACCTGGGGGAGGGGAGGAAGGCTCAAGAAGTACTGAAGCCTCCTGTAAAGACTTCAGTACATTGAAAGCAATTTTCCTCCAGTTAAAAAATCAATTAAAAAAGAAAACACCCTCACCTGTCCATTGTGCTCTTTAATATCCAGCATGTGAAGCGCATTCATTTTTCTTGCAAGGACATAGGAGAGAGCCCTTCTCCCTTGGGCAACAGCAATATGCAGGAACCTGGGGGAAGAAAAGGAAAAGAGGTAAATTATTTCTGATTTCACTGAGCTCATCTTTCAAAAAAAATTCTTCCTTCAGCCCCTTTCTTGATGTGCTGGTATACTCAAATGAAACAGCTGCTACTATTGCTGTTCTGTTGCCATGTTGTGTCCGACTCTTTGTGACCCCATGGACAGCAGCTTGCCCGGCTTATGTATCCTTCACTATCTCCTGAACCCCATAAACAGTATGAAAAATGAAACAGTGCAGAGCATAATTTGTCTTTTCTGCTATGCTGACAATACCTACCTGTGTTACAAGAGGAAGTAGGTTACCCAGAAAGAAGTACGTCAAGTACCATGTTGATTGCATTAAATCCAACATTTTTAATGTTCTTAAAAACCCAGTGGGGAAGATAGTACCATTTTACACGCCCAGAAACTGAAGTACAGAGCTTAAACAATTTGCCCAGGTTCACAAAGATGTGAGGACAGATCCGTATCAATCTACAAATCAACTCACGGTTGATCATGACCAACCAACTATGATCTAACTGACTTTGCTCTACGGACATCTTCTGTGCTAATCTTTCAAAACCAATTATTCAAAGAGGCCAAATACATTTTTATTAATTTGGAACAGGTAATTTGTTCAACCAGGAAAAAAAAAAACCCATAAAGAAAACTCTTCTTTGAAATATGAGCTATCGTTCTGCCTCCACTAGTCAACTAGATTAGCCAATCATTTACTCAGATCTAAACTGGCATACCCTTGTGCTCACCATGGCCAACAACCATGGCTTACCAAATTAGCTCAATGACATAGAAGGGTATACTTACGTGTCACCATCTGCATCCTTTGAAAGAAACTGGTCTTGGGAGATATTCGCCAATTTGTTTTCTTCCTGCTCTACTTGCCACTGAAAAAATGATTTTCCTAACTGTGTGGTGTTCATTGGATTTCCGCCAAGGTTCGGGAAGGGCAGCGGCGTGCTTAAAGGGGTAGAGCCTGCACCCGGCCTTGCCAGGGCCTCACAGGCACCTGGTGGCATCAGGTTGAAATTCTGCAGGTGGTTGTCAACTGGCTGCTGAACGCTGGGAACAGTCTGAGGGGGAACGGCAATATTCTCAGATTCCCGGGGATCACTTAGGAGGTGTGCAAAACTCTGGTCCAGGCAGAACTGTGGTTCTCGACCAAACAAGTGTGGCTCATAGCTGGGGGACTGGGCAGTTCTGGAATAAGGGCTGTATTCCAGGGCTGGACCGTGGGCGTAGTGCTGGGGCGGCGGCTGCACGCTCTGGTTCTGTGGTGAATACTGGTACACGGGAGCCTGATCCATCACGTGTGGGGAGCTGCCGACTTGGAAGGGCTGGTATTTCTGAGGTGGAGAGAAGACCGGCCCTCTGTGGAGCTCCTGACACTGCTCGTGGGGGGACCCCTGAGAGGCCTCCACGGGGCTCATCCAGCTAACTTGGACAGTGTTCAGGGAAACCGGGCTGCGTTCGTTCTTAATGTTGATAATGTTCTGAAGCAGATCGGCACAGCTGTCCTGCTTGGAGTCGCTGTGATGGGCATCTTCCATGCTCTCTGCGGGTGTGGGTGTTTGAGGCGGTGTCTGGAAAGCAAGAAAAAGGAAGTTGCACATTCTCTTCCAAAATTATTCCAAAAATAATTTCTGAAGGGTATTTAGAGGAAAACAGTGAGATACATACCAAAAACTGGGTATGTAACAAAGCTGATCTTTTGCAAGCTGGTCCATCAGACAGAGGATCAGAGCCTTTCCTTTTCCCACTATATGATACTGTGTTCTTCAAATCTGTACCTGAGAAAGGAACATGGAATCTATGATCATTTTACTTCACAAAATTTTGCCCCTAATCACAGTGTACTATTTTACCCTAGAGCCCCCAAAATATTATAAATAGAGGTAACCCTTACCTGTGAATTGCTCTCTGTTCACACCTTGGTTCTATAAGGAAAAAAAAAGTTTCCAATTTAGTGTGTGATAAATGGTTTCCTGATTAACATATAACAATAAACAGATATCTCTACCACTCTTTGTGGTTTGCCATGAACCTATGCTACACCAGTCTAACAGTATTTCTTTTCTATGTTAATTTCCATCCTACCGTACAACTTCCCCCATTTGCATTTTCACCTCGTTCAACTTGGGTCAAGATAAAATTAATAAGGCCACTTAAGTTTTCCCTCTCTCATCAAAATGTTCCATTTAACTGAACCACATTAATTTCCTTGCCCCCAACTTGCCTTCATTTACACACTCATTAAATCTCTCTTGCACACCTGCCAAGTACCCAGCGCTGGGCCCAGTGACAGGAATCTAGCAGACAGCAGGACAAACATGCTCTCTGTCCTTTGTACTCTGTGGTCTATGAAAGTAATAACCCTAACAGACTAACCTACCTGCCACCCAACCCAAAACAAATAGATTAGGTGCCACCTTAAAATCATCGACAGCTTGTCCGGAAGCCTTCTGTTTATGACTTCGGATGTGCAACAGGAGTTCCTTCACCGAGTTCTTCACACGAACACCTTGAAAGGGTCCTCTCTGCTGCCTTACAACCCCCATATGGGGCTCAACTGATAAAAACAAAAACATATCCCAAGTGAGTGTCTTCAAAGACATGAATATTAGTTAACTTCAAACGCACAGCTGTCCAACGTGATAAAGTTCCTAACTGACAAGACCACAAAGCCTCTTCAATTCACCCCGGCCAATGACCTTGCAATGTCAGCCCCCAGCCCTACTGAAGGATTCTACGTTGCCTGATACCTTTCCCCACCAGTCACCCTAAGGAATTAAAGCTCATAAAAATGTCATTTCAGGGGCCCCCAGAAACAAGGGATAAACCCATATTAGTTCTCTGTCTCTCAGTCCTAAATACGCATGAGAGAGGATTGCAGATTTTGCCACCCTGACTCGCATAAATCTGTAATTATTCTAAATTTTTTAAAAACCTGGAAGAGCAAAAAAAAGAAAAAAAAAAAAACCAGGGAGAGCAATGGCTAAATGATGAATTTTTAGCTTTCCAAACCAAAGGGTTTCTGTCCACACAGAAATTTTAAAGTCTATCAATTCCACTCACCTAAGAAGGCACAAAACAATTTACCAAAGCCTAACAATTAACAGTGTCTTAGTTTATTACTTCCCTCAGTTCAGCTATGCCAAGAAAGCTGCTTTAAACTCACTAAGCTTAAACACATTTTCATATACACACACAGGATTTCCCCTCACCGACTGTTTACGGAATTGCTCACATAGGCCTTCTAAGTAAAAAGGAAATAATCTCATTTCATATTTAAGCTTCAAATACACTTTAAAACGTAGCACATGAGTAGAGCATTCCACTCTGACCACTACCATGTCACAACCTCTTGGGATGAGTTGAACACAGAGTAAACACACACAGATCAGGAAGTGAATAATTAAGCAATTACATTGAGAGTAGAAAAAAATAAAATGGGACAAAAAACAAAGCATAAACATATATATATATATATATATATATATATGTATGTATAATCAAACATACGAAAGAAACAACTCAATGATAGGGTAAATTAAACAGCTAGTTTTACGTTTAAGTCTAGAAATATCTTGCCAGAATCTAACACAGCATCTCTCTGGAATGACAGCAGTTAATAACTTAACGTCACAGGAGAAAAATTCAGTTTCAGAAATCCCCTATGGTAAACCAAAGAACTAGTAAAATAGTTTCAACCAGATGAAGGCCAAATGAGGAGAGAGGGGAAAGGTTTACATAAACACACAATTTGACATTTACTGCACACTCAAGATACAGAAAGCATTTATAAAGTCGAGCGGTTTGAATCACTTTTTTTAAATGAAAATGACAAATCACACTTTAAAACGCAACCAAAACAGGAATGGCTAGCAGCGGGGAACACCTGAAAGAGAACGTTCTTTAAAACATGCTGATTACATTTTCCAAAATGTGAGATTATCTAGACGTTCTTTGGTTTACCCACAGTGGCATCCTGTTTTCCCCCAAATTATGCAACTCCGTTCATTAAGAAAAGAGACTAACAATTCACAGCGGACGACCGGAAACATTACGCCTTTCTCTGCTACATACAACTCAACCACTCTAAAGCACAGAAAACAAAAACAAGACCGCAGAAATTCGGGGCAGACTTCGGAAAATCAAACTCAAGGTGTACGTTGGTTTTCAGTCTAGCTTCATCTCACATCTTGATAATATCCGTTTCTTTACAAAGTCCTTCTACGTAAAAATTTTCACAAATAACGTACGTAGGAAGAAATAAATCAGGACCTTCAACCTTGCACTCGAACCCTTATCGCTCGCTACAGCCTTTCCCTAAAACAGTCACGAGAAAAAGGTACACCTACATCGGCTCCAAAACCTCGCCATAGTATATGGATTATAGCTTAATAAAGGTGTTTTTTTAAAAGAAGAAAACAGAGAAAAGCCAACGTGGTCCATTTCTACACCCCCCACCCCCATATCAGAGCCCTGTGTTTCCAGCTAACAGGCCAGCCGATGGCAGCCGGATTTCACAGACGGTCAAAGGGCATCGAGGGATATTAAACGCCCAGCACAGGGCAAGGCATCCAGTCGTGGCCTAAGAATGACGACCAGTGTGACCATGTACCGCCGCTAAGGCAGGCGCAGAACCCCGCTAAACTCTGGCCGAGGTACTTCACATCTGGGCAGCCCAGACCACCCCGCTCCCCGGGCGCGGGCCGACGGGGGTCCGGGGGCCGCCCCGCCGGGGCCGGTGGGTACCTTGCAGCCGCTCGGCGCGGGCGCCGCCTCTCGGCCGGGACTCGACCGCCCCGCAGGAGGACACGGACGAAGCGGAGGAGAAGTCGGAGGAGTCAGAGCCCGGCGAGCCTGGCGCCGAGGGCCCAGACGCCGAGCAGCCCCCGTCGCAGGCGCCGGGGGCGGCGGCGGGCGGCGACGGGCCGCAGAAGTAGGCCAGGTTGAGCGGGCTGGTCATGAGGCCGCAGTCGCCGGCCGCGTCCAGCGGCCCCTCTCCGCCGCGGCTGTCGTCCAGCAGTTTGTCCACGATCATGCTCCCGGGCTCGGCGCTCGGGGACCCCAGACAGCTGCGCCCCCGGCTCGCTGCGCGCGGCTGCCTCCCGCTTGTGGCTATGGCACTAGCTCTGACGGGGTCTAGGTGTCGGCGGGAGGACGGCGCGGGCACGGGCGCGGACCCGGAGCGCCCCACTATTTAACCGGCGTTCGAGACCAAGGGCGGAGAGACGGGGTCCCCGCCTCGCCGGCCTCCCGCGCCCCGTGGGGCCATTGGCGGCGTCGGGACCGCCTCCCGGCCCCTCCTCCGGATGCACCCGGTTTCCAGTAAAATGTACAGGATGAAGCAATGTGTGCCCTCCGCCCTCGCCCCGCCCGGCCGGTTGTTTTCCTGCCCTTCACCTAGAAACCCGGCCGGGGGGCGGTCTCCCGCCTTCCGGCCCTCGTCCCCTGCCCTGGAGCCCCCCGCCCGGGCCGCCCGCGGAGACATGCGCGGACCGGCTCTGCCTCGGCGCGCCCCCAGCCCGGCCTCGGCGCCGGGGAAGAGGGCGCGCGACGCGGGCCTGGCCCGCAAAGGGGGGCTAAGAGGCAGGAGGCGGCGTTGGGAACTGGTCGGCCCGGTTCCGCGGAGTAGGAAGTGCTGGAAGAAACGCGCCACGCAGCCCTCCCGCCGCCCAGCGCCCGACTCCGCGCCAACCCCAACCCCGGCGCCTCCGGGAGGTGCACACGGGCCCGCCTCTGCTCAACTTAGCGTTTGCCAACATGCCTTTTGGCCGGGTCTCCAATCCCAAACGGAAAGAGATGTTGAAGCCATTTTTCTATCCTCAAATTATAATCTGGGCAGTTTTGGTGCCGACTGGGAATAAAAAGCATTGGCCTACACCCCTGTATCCTTCAATCCTGAGACAAAGACGTCTTAGCAGAGTGATAAATATACATGCCTGTATCCGTCTGTATTTACATTTATGCTGCGTAAGTGTCCACTGTGTCGGATAAACACAGGAACTTTGCTCTTTCCTGTCTTAAAATACTTCAGTGGAGCTACACAGCTTTTTTTTGTGCTGATGACTCTTTGGGACTCTATGGACTGCAGCCCACCATGCGCCTCTGTCCATGGGAATTCCCCAGGCAAGAATGCTGGAGTGGGTAGCCCGTCCCTTCTCCAGTAGCTCTTCCCAACCCAGGGATCGAGCCCAGGTCTCCCTCATTACAGGTGGATTCTTTACCAACTGAGCCACCCAGGAAGCCCAAGAATCCTGGAGTGGGTAATCTATTCCTCCTCCAGGGGAATCTTCCCAACTCAGGAACTGAACCCAGGTCTCCCTCATTGCAGGCAGATTCTGTACCGACTGAGCCACCGAGGAAGCCCTTTTTTTTTTTTTATTGAAGTCCAATTACTTGCTAAAACCGTGTCTAGGTGTTAGTGGAAACAAAAGATGAATGATTGTGTCTGACCTTTCAAGTACATTATAATCCTGAAAGAATGATAAGGTAAATACACACTATATTAAAAGAAACTGATTATGGTTAAATATGAGGGACACAAAGTTAAGTTCAGTGAATATCCTAAAAAGAAAGACAATATCTAGTGAAGGGAAAAGTAAGGTCATCAGGAAAATCTTTGCAAAAGAAGGTGACATCTGAGATAGACCCCCAAAAATGAGTGAGGTTTCAACTCACAGCATTTCTTGGAAGAGGGAACAACATGAGCAAAGAATTAAGAAGTCAGATGAAAAAAAGAGTCCCTTTTAGGATAGTCAAGGGAAGATGATAACATTAAATGTAGAAGGTAGCTTGGTACCTTTGGGTGCTGCACCTCCAGTGAGAGACCGGCACACTTGGTCTTTATTTAATAAACATTGAGTGAACATGAACGAATTTGGGGCGGGCAAAACTAATCCAGGAGCAGGTGAGAGGCGGTGAGATTCAGGGGCCCAGAGAAGATTAGAAACTGCTGTTATGGCCGGAGAGAACCAGCCTGACCCTAGAGCAGAGGCGGTGAGAAAGAAGAAAGTAGACCGAAAGAAAACAGAGAGTAAGGCGGCGTTACTAGGGCAGAAGGCACGGGATGGAGCTGTTTGGAGACGGGCAGCAATGAAGAGGTCCCCCGTCCGGCTGTGGTTTGGGGCCAGATGACCACGTGAAGAGGGACGCCAGCTTCCGATCACAGGGAAGTCAGGGAAAGTAGGATGTTAGGGTCCCAGGAGGAAGAAGTAAGGGAGGCGGGGGCGGAGGGAGACACTGGGCTTGGATTGTTGAACTCAATTGTTGAATTGTTGTAAGACCTGGGGCGGGGGAGGCGCTCCAAAGTAAACATTTCCTTGTTTCTCCCGGTTGTTGCATTGTCCCAGGGACTTCTTGCTGCCTTTCTCTCCTGCCAGTTTTGGGGTTTTGGTAAATTTTTTAAAAAACCAAAAGGAAACAACTCCCTTAAATGTAGCTGCAGAAAATACAAGGCACCACTACAATATTGTAAAGTAATTAGCCTCCAACTAATAAAAATAAATGGAAAAAAATAAAAAAATAAAATCAACTATGCTTAATTGCTATGAAAAAAAGAAAATACAAGGCTTCAGTAACTGCAGTTCCTCAGAAACCAAAATCACTTAAAGGATATTTCAACTGAGATATCAGACTTTCTCAATAAAATGTTTCCGTTTTTTTTCCTTCCAACTAAAACTTTATGTATCATAAAGGCCATAAATGGCCATCCAAATGAATGCATGGCAATTTTTTTTTTACAAAATTGTTTCTCCCCTTAAAATCATTTCCCATTTCACTTGATATATAAAAATTCAAGCTTCAAAATCATGGCCTCAGGGGGAAATTAATATAGATAAATATGGTCAGTAGACTAATGTTTCAAAATAAACGTTGAAAGTTTTCTATGAAACATCAAAGCAATCATACTGCTTAAAGAGACCACCACCCCGGTTCGATGCCTGGTTCAGGAGGATTCCACAGGCTTCAGTGCAGCTAAGCCCCTGCACCAAAACTACTGAAGCCTACGCTCCCTAGAGCCCGTGTTCCACTCTCAGGAAGCATTTCACAGGAATGCGTGCTGTTTTGGATCTGACATGAACCTCTGTTCCTTATTAATTCCTGAATATTAGGAATTAAGAGGAGAGGCATGCCTTTCCCGGGGCTGAGGAATCCAGGCATTTCCTTCATTAGTTTTTCAATACGGTGATAAGTACCCTCTTCCTTCTTATGAACCATTATGGTAAAAGTGATTGTTTACAACCCTCTCTCTTTAGTAGGGATCGCCTTATGTTTTGTAAGCCTGGAATTTTAATCTTCATCTTTGCTGAGAATAACTACCTTGTAAGACAGTATATATGCCCACACCATGTTGATTAAAACACCTTTGCTCCATCAGAGCTTGGGTCCCGTGTCTTTCTTTCTTTCTTTCTCTCTCTCTGGCTGATTCCCTGGAATGCGAAAGCCGGCTGCATAACCCAGGGAATATTAGCCTCTTTCCTTCTTTCACTTTCTCATCGTCGACTCCGGACCACCCGGCTCCGGTCCATTAAAGGACCAACATTCCACAGCAAGGGAAGCCCATGCAGGGCGACAAAGAGTAGCCCCCACTCACCACAACTAGAGAGAGCACAGACACGGCAACGAAGACCCAGTGCAGCCAAATAAATATTAATAATAAATAAATTTAATAATACAATAAATTTGTTAAAAAGACCACAACCTCCAACACACAATCAAGAATGGTTATTTGTTAACATTACTACAAAAATTAACTTTAAATGCTTATTTAAATGTTGAAATATAAACTCAAGTTTAGTCTATTAGGCTGAGTTATATGACACTGCCACTGTTCTGATCAAATACAGTGGAACATGCACTCTGTGAAGACAGCCAACCTTGATACACACGAGGACTTTCTGGGAAAGTCCGCTGAGGCCAGCAGCCAGCACTAACTTGCTAGCTATATGAGTGAGCCATTCTAAAAGCAGATCTTCTAGCTGTATGTCTGGTTTTCAGATGACCGCAGCACTGACCAACATCTTGAAGGTAGTTGTATGAGTAACCTCAAGTTAGAAACTCCTCTTTCAAAGCCACTCCCAGATTCCTGACCACAGAAACAGTATTTGAAAAATGAGCCCTTGAGAATTTGCTTAGTTTATACCACTCATCATAGGTGGAGAAGAAATCAAAATCCTTATCTGTCTGAGTCTGGAGCCCAATCTTTTGCTTTAGAAAGGGAGATCAGAAGACATTTCCTCAAGGCTCAGATGCACTGTCTAGATCTGAAGATACAGAAAAAGGTGATTTTCAGATCAGAGAGATCTTTCAGACAGATCAGAGAGTTCCCTTTCTCATGGAAGGAAGAAATCTATTCCAAAGCAATTGGAAGGACCTGTAAGTTAAAAAAAAAACAAAACAAAACTTGATGGTGCTGTCTTTTCTTTGACTTTATAGATGTTAATAATTTGCCTTATTGTGTCTTATATGATAGAGCATTTTGCATAATAATGTGGTGCCAGTTAAGTGGTACTACTATTTTTTTTTGGTACTACTATTTTTAGACCAGACATTCAGGGTTTTAAAAAGAGGCAGTGACTTCTTAAATGTAGATGTAATAAACTTTTGAAAAGCCCAAAATTATTTGGTGCAGCTCTTCAAACCTGGAGAGAAAAAGCCAGTGAAGTACCTTGCAGAGTAAGTTATTGTAACTGCACCGGCTGAAGAAGCGAGAGAGCAATAAAGCCTGGTGGAGTTTAGCTTGCTGGGTGCCTTCTAGATGAGAAGTCAGCAAAAGAAACCATGGCTCAGCCACTTGCCAATGTTATAGTAACATCAAATTAAAGATCTGGCTGCAGACCGATCCATTTCTGCAGAATTGCATTTTTTTGTCTCAGAAATGGACAGATCTGCCAACTGTCTGGACTTGCTATCTCGAATATATTCATTGGGAATCAGCACCAGTTAATCATCAAAGATCTTTCATATGAACACATGATGACAACAAACATGAGGTGCTAAGTCATTTGAAGTATACAATAATTGTTTTAATTTCATCAT